GACACCACCGAGGCGCGCGGGGGAGCCAAACCCGGCTTCAGCGGGCCGAACACGCGGGCCACGTAGGCTTCGGCTTGTGCATCTGGGTCGGGATCCGGTTCTGGCCCCGAGTCATCGTCAGAGGCGCGAGGATCATCACATTGGCCTGGAGGAAGCTCCATGGCGACCGGGTGGGCGCGGCCGGCCCTGCACTGTCAGCCGCAGGTCTCGCGTCCCATCTCCTAGGCAGCGCGAGGGTCCTTCCGGTGCGGCCTGATGACGTAAGGAGCCCACCGGAAGCAAGGCGACAGGGAAGTTGGCCTGGTGCCTGACGCGCTTGCTTAAAGGCGTCGCGTTGTTTGGCAGCGTTGGCCCGGGGCTGGAAAGTGCGAATTTTTTCTTAAACAGATGGTTTCTAGAGACCTGCTCAAGTTTGGGGTGAGGATAGAGACCACTAGCTGAGTTATGGAATGTGCACTAAGCGCCTCTTGCAATAGAGGCGTTTTTAGGACGAGCACCCCATCGCTTCTCGGCCTTTTGGCTAAAATCATATGTAAAAGGAACACTCCTGTGACCCTGACCTAGGTCCGTTTGTTTTGGAAGACTGCTTGCAGGAGCTACAGCTATCTCGATTGCCCCATTGTGTACGGCCAGCAGCTGAGCTGAGCCTTCCTCAAAACGTCTTTTCTTTGCAACAGCCTCCCTATGTATCCCAAGGTGGCTCCAACTCAGCCTACTCCACCTCCCGACTACTGGGATTACATCCGTGTGCCACAGGTTAGAATTTTTTTCTCCTTTTAAAATAGGTTATGCAGATTGTTTCATTTTGGTGGATTCATACGTGCACATAACATACTATGATAATTTTCACACTCAACACACATACAAAACCTCCAGGTTAGACTTTTTTGTACCGGGGAATAGAACTCGGGACCTTGTGCTTGCAAGTCAGGCAGCGGAACCACTGAGCTACATCCCCAGCCCCTGGGAAAGACTTTTTAATGATTGGCCTATAAACAAGAATTACCGGACTGGGGATTAGCTCAGCGGCACTGCACCAGCCTGCAAGTTCAAGATCCTGAGCTCAAGCCCTGGTACTGAAAGGAAAAACAAAATTACCGAGTTTGGTGGCACAGGCCTGTAATCCCAGCAATAATAAGACTGAGATAGAAAAGCGGGAGTTTGAAGCTAGCCTAAACTACAAGGTAAGACCCTGTCTCAAAAAAATCAAAATAAAAACCAAAAACCAGTTTTCAAACTTGAACTTACTTCAGTATATCTGAATTATTTGCATATTAGGCATGGTAATTTATATAGTAATAAACATTTGCCTTTTGTGTTAAAAAGTGCTGCAAGGCTTTGTCCCTTCCATCAGTTGAGTGTACCACCCTAAGGAGCTATATGTAGGTCTCGGATGATATTTCCCCTCACGTTCATCTTCCCATTTTACAAGGTAGGAAACAGACTTGAGGTCTCAAGGCTCATTTCCTCGTCTTCCACTTACTTCCTGGCTGGAGCTCTGTGCATACCATTTCTAAAGCTTCCAGGTGTCCTATGTCCCTAACTTTACCCTCTACCCATACCCAAAGATGCAAGAAAACAGGCCAAGGGTTTCACAAGAAACTGATCTTTACTCAACAAAGTTCTACACAAGTGGAATCTCACGCCACCTCGGCGCCAATCCCCAGCACAGCACAGTAACAAATGGACAGAGCCGGGAGCCCACAGAGTAAGAAGGTAAAAAGAAGGAGAGGTTGAGGGAAGGACTGCGGATCATAGCCAGGCTGGTCCACAGCCCTGGACAGGGAAGGTTGAGAAGCTGAAACTTCGTTGTGCAAAAACCAACTAAAAATAAATTAAAAAATTAAATACCTTTCTTAAAAAAGGGGGGGGGGAGAAAACTAGAACCACCAGGCTCCCCTTCCCTGAAGGTGTGGCTGGAACCCCCAACTTGGGGAGAGGGAGTTACCAATACCATCAGATAGCCAATCCATACAGACTCCTAGACCCAGTGGAGGGTGCTTCAGAGAACTGGAATTACCAGAAAGCTAAATGGTATTTTTTAAAAAAATTTTTTAAACAAATGGCTTCTAGAGACCTGCTCAAGTTTGGGGTGGGGTAGGGACCACTAGCTGAGTTATGGAATGTGCACTAAGCGCCCCTTGCAATAGAGGCAGGCCTGGCCCTGTCTCAGAGAAGTCACTGGGCCAGGATGGGGCTGGGGTCCAGGCCCTTGGAGTGGTGGATGGAGCAGGTAGAGAGATGCAGGACTCCGGTGGACCCCAAAATACAAGGGGCCCCCAAGAGTTAAAGAGCAGGAAAGGGAGAAAGGAAAAAAATATTTAAGGGGGCGGCAGGGCCCGGTTATCTGGCCAACTTGGAAAAAACTATGCCCCCTTCTCTAGGGGTGCCCCTCCCACCTGTACCACACCCCCACTGAATCCCAGAAGTTTCACTGGAAACGCTGTCCCAGTCTTGTGGGGTCTCTGGGCCCACTGGGCACTGTGATAATCAGGGTGTCCTGGATCCCTCTGGGACAGAAAGGAGACAGGGGCTGCTCCACCACTGCCCCCTTCCCCAAGCCCTCAGCTTACTTCCTGCTGGCAAAGCATAAGCCTGGGTCCTCTATCACCATATGTTCAATGCCCTCGCCCTTGAGGAAGGTCTCTGAAGGCACAGAGAGCCCACCTGCCCTTGACACTACTTCCAGAGAGAAAAGAAGGGGCAGGTACTAGCAGCTCATGGCTTCCAGCTCTTCTGAAGAGGATCCCACTCCTGGAGCATGGGGGTAAGAGACAGGGTGACCTCTGGCCAGTCCCACTGCTGCTCTGGTGGACCCCATTCTGCTGGCGGGATGGGACAAGGACGGGGACATACTAGTTGGCTGAGGCTTCCATGGAGCTGACAGGAAATTTGTGGAGCAGGTCCAAAGCGTGCACGTGCTGACAAGGCGGCCCAAGGTGACCGTCCTCCCCCCCGCCCCAGTCCTGGCAGAGGCC